CAAGCCAGGACTGCTTTGCAAGCGGGGCACCCCTGAGAACTGTCTGTCCGGGGTGGGGGTCGGGACCCTTTAAGCACAGCCCTCGGCTAGCCTGAGACAGCATCTCCACGCTCTAAGTCCTTCTCTGATGCCCTGCCGGCACTGCTTCCGGCCATCCTTAACCCTGCTTCAGGGTCCACTTAATGTGGACGCGCTAGTTCGAATTAGCAAAACGCTAATTCGAACTAGTTTTTAGTTCTAGATGCATTAGTTCGAATTAGCTTAGTTCGAATTAACTAATTCGAAGTAAGTTAGTTCGAATAGCCCTGTAGTGTAGACATACCCTTAGTCAGCAGTCCTGGCCAGAGATGCAAGGGTCCCTTTTTGACCAAACCTGTCTGGCTAAAAAGTGGAAACCTGGAAAACCAAATTTCTGGCCCCAGAAAAACGTTCAACTTTTGAACAGTTTAGCAGAATATATTTTACAGCTGTGTTTAGAATTTGCATGGTGTTTTGCTACTGCTGATTTCCACTGACAGGACAACCCGGAAGCATTCAGTCCTTGCATTGGAAATGAGAGATTAAATAAAGCTGATCAAAACAGTGTTTCAATTGTGAAATTTGTTGACAAAGGTGAAAATATCTTTTTCCCCCTCGACCAGCTCCATACAGAATGGGATTGCTTTGCAAACATTAATAGCATAAATATCACAACATACACACGAGGAAAGTTGGGTGTTACTGTCCCCTTTTGATAGATGGGTAGGTTGAGGTGAAGAGAAGTTAATTGACTTGCCCAAGGCCACAAGATAATCTATAACACACTCAGGGTTGAAACCCAGGAGTTCTGATGCTCAGTCATTTGCTTTAACCGTTGGATAGGGCTTTCAGTCACATCCCAGTAAATGCTGGTCACTCTATAAAGCAAAGGGAGCAATATCAGGCTGCAAAGATGTTAGGATTGAAAGTTTTATTCTTTTTTATATTTGTATTTTAGGTTTAATAATGTAGTAATGTAAGGTAATATATATAATCATATTTAATATTGTAGTAAGTCAAATCCTTTAGTTAAGTATATATTGCCTATATTTCCTTGTTCTAACGTTTAGTAAGTAAAGAGTCAGGATCTCATATTGTGTTAAATATTGAAGGCCCGGGCCTTCGATGTGACTTTTTTGATTTTGCTTTTGCTTAATATAAAACAGTACTGTTTACTTTTGAAGGATTTTGTGAAAGACTGTTTGTGTGAATGAGATATGGTGTGAAGGTCATCGTTAAAGCCAGATGGTCAAGAGAGAAGGAGGAGAATGCAGGGTGAAGACAAACTATAAAAGACAGACTGCGAAGAAACATATTGGTATCAGAAAAACCAACAGTGCATACCCATGGTCAGGAATTGATCAGACTGGCAGAATTGATGACTCTAAGGCTGTGTCTAGACTGGCAAGTTTTTCCGGAAAATCAGCCGCTTTTCCGGAAAAACTTGCCAGCTGTCTACACTGGCCGCTTGAATTTCCGGAAAAGCACTGACGATCTCATGTAAGATTGTCAGTGCTTTTCCGGAAATACTATGCTGCTCCTGTTCGGGCAAAAGTCTTTTTCTGAAAGACTTTTGTGCAAAAGGGCCAGTGTAGACAGCACAGTACTGTTTTCTGCAAAAAAGCCCCAATCGCGAAAATGGCGATCGGGGCTTTTTGCGGAAAAGCGCATCTAGATTGGCCACGGACGCTTTTCCGCGCCTTTTTGCGAAAAAGCGCATCTAGATTGGCCACGGACGCTTTTCCGCAAAAAGTGCTTTTGCAGAAAAGCATCCTGCCAATCTAGATGAGCTTTTCCGAAAATGCTTTTAACAGAAAACTTTTCCGTTAAAAGCATTTTCGGAAAATCATGCCAGCATAGACGTAGCCTAAAGGTGAAAGGCGGGCACCCCTAAAAGCAACTGATTAACAATCCAGGACAGGATGAGCCTTCAAGAGATGTTTGGGAACGATTGACATCAACAAGATAACTTTCCGGTCACAGGCTGACAGAGCGGAATCCATTGATTTCAACGGAGAAAAGGATTATAAAAGCAGGGTGCTTTGCTATGGAACTTTGGGTTTGTCTTGCCACCAACTCCAGAAGAGCATCGGCTCGATCTACTGACAAAGGCCCTGCTCTCCCTCTGTGTTCAATCTAGCTTGCCATTAGACTGATACAGAATCTGGACTGGTAACTATAACTATAACAGAATCTGGCAAGACTGTGTGTGTGTGTATGGCGTTTGTGTGCGTGGTTGAAAAGCCGATGCAGCTGTTGTATTCTCAATAAATGCGGCGTACTGCCTTTTCCCCTATAAAAGATCTTGCGTGCTTCGTTTAAGCAGATAAGAAAGAGAGCAGTAACGGTGTAAGAGACAGCATTATCCGGTCCATCCTGTCTAACCTTCACTACACATGAACCAAGTTGAACAAATTTTGGAATAATTCCTTATGCATCGTTTTTTAGTCTCATTTCCTTCAGTCCAGTTGAAGCATATCTGCTATTTCATGATGTAGAAACTACTAGATGCAGGCCTGGATGAAGGCATCAATCAGACTCCAAACTGGTCACAGAGCAAACTGAGGTGAGCATCATTGTGCATGCAGCTAAGTTCTGCTAAGAATGAACAAAAACCCACCCACCCATACCTGCTAACTTGGAGGTTTCTATGATGCTAATACTTAGTGGGTGGATTCTCTATTGTTCTAACCTTACTCCTACACCTACTCGGGGTAGAAAATATCTTTTGCAAGGGGTGCCAGACTAGCTGGTTATTTAATTCATGCCATAGAAACTTTCTAGCCAAACCTCATGTTTGCTCCTACAGCTGCTCCTCTTCTCGTTGAAGAAGTGGCAGTGAGAGATTTTAGGCTATACACAGAGGAAGACGTGGCCCTCCAGTGGGAACAATGTCTTTCCCCGGGCTTTTCACTCTGAAATAAAATTCCTCTCACCAGGAAAACTTAAGTCAGCAATGACTTGTCTCCCTGAAACACTGCTTCAGCCTCAGGGTTGAAGGCTAAGCAGCACCCATTGCCTGGCCTGATTATACAGTTGATTACAAGATAATCCCTTGAATATTTCATGCAGGAATGAGCGTGCAGTGTCCGGGCAGTGGAGTAACATGAGCAGCTGAGTTGCAGCTTTTAAAAAAAAAATCCCTACTTACCTTCCACCAGGTACCACAGCAGAGTCTTGCAGACACAAACTGAACTGTTTGCAGCAGAAAGAGACCAGGAACCTTTAATCCCTGAGCATTGTCTTTTGACACAGAGCTGAGTCTGATCTAAAGCTCAGCTCTTCTGTTTGTGTTTTCTCCTTCCTGGCCTTCTCGTGAGTTTTATGAGTGACTGTGCCTGTTGCTGATCCTTTATGAAAGAGCAGCAAAAGATGCTGAAATTCCAACAAAGAGGCACCCTGGGCTCTCAGGTTGTGGGTGGTTGTTTTCCTTCCCGCTGTGCTGGTGATTACTGAAACAGAAGGGCTGGCTAATTAGCTGCAGTGTGTAGTTTGCTTAAAGCAGGCTCAAGCTGGGATGGAAATAGCTCTTAGTACTATCCACAAATTAAGCCAGTTCAGAACCAGGAGCAGATTATACACACTATCAACCCAGCCACAGAGACCGCCTCTTAGTACTGTTGCAACTTCCAGCCAAAACCCTCACTGCAACATGGAAGCACGAACACACGGTAAGTTTATCCTCTGCTTCTTTGCTAATTGTCCATGAGACAAAGTAATTGAGTGGGAGGGAGGGCAGGGAATATTTTGATTGGACTCAAGCTGTTTTCCTTCAGTAGATTTTATTTTTCATGGACCAATAACTGGTAAAAAAAAAAAAAGTCTTCATGGAGTTATAAGCATGGCTTGGTTTTTAATGGCAGAATATAAACGGCAGACTTCAAAAATAAGTCACTGGACGGTGCGTATGACCTTTGTGAGAAAGCAAATAGTAATACGCTTAAGCAAGTAGAGGTAGTAATATTTTGTGTTGGATTTTGCTCTCTTTTTCAGTGTTTTCCTTACTATAGATATAATTGAGAGAGAGAACATTTAGATTTCTATTCAAAACAAGTCTACTCAATGTATAAAACATGCAAAGTTTGAATCCCTCATGTATAAGTTTTGACTCATGTTTATCGTTAATATTGCTGAGCCATTCACTGTTACCTTTGTTGCTGTAGTTAAAAATTCAACAGTTGTTTCTAGTATAAGATTTCAGGGGGTTATATCTTTACTCCAAACTTTTAAGATTCCTCTTGATATATGGGAGAGAGAGACTATGCCATCCCCAACTTGCCCCCTCTGCAAAATGATTATTCTTGCAATGTTCTTCAAGTTGCAATCCATATTGCAAAGTTGTCCTTAAGATTCTGGGCCTGACGTTGATGCTGCTAACACATTTTAGACCACGGTTACCCGCACTGTTTTTGATAGAAAAATATTGCCAATTTACATCAGGGCACATGAAAATCTGGCTTTGTAGGCAGCTTTGTGGGGGTTGTGATGGAGAGATCAGTTTCAGAAATCACACACTCTGTGTACCTATATGGATGGCTTGGCTCCCTTCTTTCGAAAGGTCCCCGGATCAATGATCTGTTGTGTCACAGAATGTCATTGCTTGAACAGGGATGGTCAGTTTCTAATCCCAGGGATGGGAAGCGCACTGTGCACCTCCCAAATTCTATCCTGGACCTCTGCAGCAGACATAGTGGTGCATGGTGGATGTGCAGTGCACAGCTGAAACTAGACGCTGACTTCGCTCAGTGTGCCTCATTTACGAAACTAGCTTCTGTGTAAATGCAGTAGATGTTCATAACAGGGCATGAATTCTTATAGATTATTCCCAGGAGCCCCTCATACCATTCCCCCATCCAACAAGCTATAAAAACATCAGAGAGATTGAAAATATTTACTGGAGCGCTACTCTGGCTTAAATTTAGCCAGAGCTGTCAATGCTATGAACCCACTGAAGTGGAAGAAGTCTGATGCACAAGACAGATATCATTCTCTTTTCTCCTGCCCAAGCAAACCGACACTCTCCCCCATGCACATACCCTGTTCATGTGTCTGGCATACCATATGGCCAACATTTAAAGCGGAAAGGACAAAACATGGAAAGTCTTGAATATCAAGTGCAACTGCCTAAATGCTAGTTTTACGGAGACTTTACTGTAACAGCAGTCAAGCACAGTGGGGACTTTCTAGGCCAACAAAACCTGCCAGAAGCAAGCATGCTCTGCGACAGATACTGTCCCACAACTAGAAAATGAACTCTGGTATTTTCCATAAGGCACCCACACATCCGATTCCAAACACCAGCACAACATCAACAGCACACAGCAGTGCTCAATTGACGTCTGCTGGGTCATACTACAGCTATATCACTTGACAGAGTTTGTGTGTCTGTCCATCTGTGAGTCTGTTTGATCAAGAACTCCTTCTAAACGGTAAGAGCGAGGAGCACCAAATGCGGTAGGCAGCTTCCACTCACAATAACTTAAAGCAAGGTCAGGGTTTGGTTGTGCCAGGACAATGGGATGTGCTTGGAATACGATTGTTCCTCATAAAACGTGAAGGGAGGTGTCTGCAAGCAGGCACAGTTATACTGCAGAATGATCACAAGGAGGTGAGATCACTGGTAAGAGAGTGGCTGGCTGGAGGCGAGGCTCTGGATGTTGTCGGACAATGTACATGAGTAAGGTTCCCATGCTACGAGCCTCCCACTAGGCAGCATGACCTCCTCCCCTTACCCTGGCCAGCACTAGGGATCCACCAGTTGGGCATCATGGCCCTGAGCCCTTCCTACCTGCCATCCCCCTGCCCTTACTGCTGCACCTCCAGTCCCTGCCCTGAGCCCATGTGCATGAAGGCTCTAGCTTCCTCAACAGCAATCTTGCTGCTATAGAAAATACTCATGTTCTCTGCTCTCTGTTGCTTCCACATGAGGCACTGCCAGCAAAGAGCCATGCTCCTACTAGGCTGCCCTTCTTAGTGAGCCAAGCTGCAATGCAGCTGGGAATGAGGCACTTGCAGCTCCTGAGTCGCAGGTCTTCGCATATTCTTTCTAGACCAGCACGGACTTATAAGAATCATTAGGGTCTCTTATGCCAATAACGTTTCCATAGTCAGAGACTATTCAGTGTGTTTACAGAAGAGATCATGGACTCATGAACAAACCACCTGTCATTGTGTAGGTGACCTGCCTATTACAAGCCCCTTGAAATTTTATAATCCTAAGAGTGGAGGTCTAAAGTGCGTAATGTGTTAAAATTATATCTGGTAAACAACTCCCCAAAACAGAGTTACAAGAGAAAGAGTTTTGTGTTTAATATACTCCCATGAACATCTCATAAGACTCATCTAGGCTACATTCCTCTGTCAAAAGAGAAATTTAAATGAGCCCAACTGAAAGTGCAAATGAAGTGGAGATTTAAATATCTTGCGCTTCATTTGCATATTTGCGTCCGATTGCTGTTTTGAAAAAGGGTTTTTAGAAAAGCTTCATTTGCATATTTGCGTCCGATTGCTGTTTTGAAAAAGGTTTTTTAGAAAGTGAAAGCACAGTCTACACAGGGTTCTTTAAGGTTTTTAGAAAATGAAAGCACAGTCTATACAGGGTTCTTTTTTAAAAAAAAGCACCCCTTTTCAAAAGAACCCGTACTCCTGAAAAAATGAGGAGCATGAGTTCTTTCAAAAAAGAGGGTTTTTTTTTGAAAGATCCCCATCTAGACTGCAGTTTCACTTTTGAAAAACCCTTTTTCAAAACAGCAATTGGATGTGAATATGCAAATGAAGCACGGGATATTTAAATCTCTGCTTCATTTGCACTTTAGTTTGGGCTCATTTACATTCCTCTTTCAACAGAGGAATATAGGTTAGACGAGCCCCTAGGGATCAAAGAAACTAGTGACAGACTAGATCTCTTCCATCATCAAGATCACCTTGATGGGGTCAATTCAGGACAAATCCCTGTAGCACAAATTCTAGTGATTTGCTCAGTGTAGCTTTTCAGCCTTCAAAGAAGAATAAAAAAAACTATAATCCATAGGGAGAATTTAGTATTTATTTTTTTGGAAAGAGAAAGATCCATAGGGAGAATTTAGTATTTATTTCTTTGGAAAGAGAAAGAAGGGCTGGAGAGCATGACCTATGAGGAGAGGCTGAGGGATTTGGGCTTGTTTATTCTGCAGAAGAGAAGAGTGAGGGGGGATTTGATAGCAGCCTTCTATTTCCTGAAGGGAGGTTCCAAAGAGGATGGAGAGAGGCTGTTCTCAGTGGTGACAGATGGCAGAACAAGGAGCAATGGTCTCAAGTTACAGTGGGAGAGGTCTAGGTTGGATATTAGGAAAAACTATTTCCCTAGGAGGGTGGTGAAGCACTGGAATGGGTTCCCTAGGGAGGTGGTGGAATCTCCATCCCTAGAGGTTTTTAAGTCTTGGCCTGACAAAGCCCTGGCTGGGATGATTGAGTTGGGATTGGTCCTGCCTTGGGCAGGGGGCTGGCCTTGATGACTTCCTGAGGTCTCTTCCAGCTCTATGGTTCTATGGTTCTAATGCTCTCCATTCAGGCCATGGTGTGTCCGTAGAACTACTGTGGGTACTGGCTACTGAAGATTGCAGCCAGAGCCCAGAAATCTACACCACAGTTCAACAGCCCTACAACGTGAGCCTTGTGATCCTGAGTCCATTGGCAAAGGCCAACAACAGGTTTTGGTCTATACTGCACTTTGATTGGACTTGGACATGTAGATCTGTTCCTGGATATGCCATTCTCAAAATCAGGTCTGTAGTTGGAATTTAGGAATCCCTTTCAGACACTGTTTCTAAACATTCCCGCAAGCATGCAACTGAAATGTTCTGCTATGATCATTCCTGCCAGTAAGCTCTTCCTTGAGAACGACTGTAGAATGCAAATGCTAAGGGTTTGATGGCCTAAAGCAGGGCTACTCAACTTTGGAAGTCCCGAGAGCCACAATGATACTCACAGCACATGCCAAGGGCTGCAACTTAAGTGTGGTTTCATGTACAGGCAAATATATATGCAAATGTATGCAAATAGCTTATTTCACACTGATGGGCATGAATACAAAGCACTTCCCACAATACCCCGGTACTCCTGCCACTTCCTCTCTAGGGGCTAGACACACCAACACTCTGTACCTGTCTGTTCCAGCCAGGCCATCTGCTTGCTAGACACACCAACACTCTGTACCCGTCTGTTCCAGCCAGGCCATCTGCTTTCATCTTTCAATGCTTATCCCACCCGGGAGATGCCCTGCCAATGCAGAACATTTTCCCAGGGGAGGCAATGTTCAAAGGATCCCACCTGCAGGCTGTGCATTGCACTCCATGTAAAACCAAACTGCACTGGGGGCCGCAAACAAACAGGTCGCAGGCTGCATGCGGCCCACAGGCCATGTGTTGAGTAGCTCTGGCCTCAGGCCCATAGAATGGGACAAGAAGCACCTGGAGAGAGGCCTTGTGGAACCATCGGCAGATGCAATTTAACATCAAACTAATTCATATCAAATCATTTTTGGGGTGTCAGCTGAACACACTGAAATGTTTTGATTAGAGTTGAACCAACTCCAAATTAAATATTTTGTTTAGATTTCCTTAACAGAAAATCAATTTTTTTTCCTGCTCAAAAATCAAAATTTGTTCTGGGAAAATTTTGATTTTGAAGTTGCTGCATTTTCCATTAAAAAAATTGACTGAAAATTCCCAAATGACCTTTACTGCTCCCCATTGTGAGTCCAGGATTCACTATCTGCCTCACAGTGAAAGTGAATTTGGTTTATAGCAATTAAAAATGTTCTGCTGTATCTGACCGAGGCTCAGCTAAAAGACAAAGAATACTCAAGTCTCATATGAATACTCAGAATCTCATATGGTCTTATGAGATGTCCAAGGCTTACAGTGAAAATATTGGAGAAATACCTTTTGCATCCTCTGGGACCGAAACTTCCACTTATTAATTATATTCCTGGAAATTTCCCTCATGGCTTCATTATAGGCTTCATTAAAGGAAGTCAAGTGTGAGTCTTCTTGAGTGCCTAAGGAAAGCTGGAGGGTGAGAAATAAGTTCTGCTGACTTCCATTTGATGCTTGTTCTAACTAAGGGAGATTAATCACTATCTTTTATTTTTAAGCCCTTCCATTTTTGGCATTTTGCTAATTGTTCTTTTTACCTGATAGTTGCAGCCAGATAAAGCCAGCCTTTGGAAAGGACATACAAGAGCGGCCGTGGCAAATTCTCTTTCCATTTCTGTGTTCGTAGAACTAGTACAGGTGCTGGTTAGTCAAGGTTTGAGTAGTAGCTTCTCAGGGTACGTCCACACTGCAGTTAAATACCCACAGCTTGGCCATGCCAGTTGACTTGAGCTTGCAGAGTTCGGGCTGCAAAACTGTTAATTGCAGCGTACACGTTTGGGCTCAGGCTTCAGCCCAATCTTCGGGACCCTCCCACCTTGCAGGGAGCAGGGATAGCTGACTCCACCACCATTCTGTCCCTGCTGAAAGCAGAAGGATCTGCTTTCAGGACAGAGATACAAAGCAAAAGGGGGAGGTGCTCCTGCCATCAGTGATCTCCACAAGGGACAGATGCAAACCATTATGGGACTCTCATATTTTCCAGAGCAGGAAGGTGGTGAAGAGATGGACCACTCTTTTCTCAGAGCTTTGCCACGGGGAAAAGGCACTCCCGAGAGCCATTCCATTGCATTCTCTCCTGAGCTTGGAGATGCCAGGGCAGCTGTCACATGTTCTCATTCCTCTATTGAAGGGAGAGTGCTGTAATACATAGATGCTGCCTAGACTAGGGTACAAGAATGTGCTATAGGTGCCCCGACTCCCTGGCCTTGTGGGAAAAACTCCCTTTGGCTTCTCTGGTGTGGCTTCATGATGGCAGTAGCTCCTCTCATCAGACCCACAGGGGGAGGCTCATGCCCATTCAATATGATGCTTTGTTGCCCTCTAGTGGTGAGCCATGGAGGTTGATGAACCTTCTACCACCTTGACTAATGTATCTGGGTCTTATTTTAGGTATTAGAGACTCATGCTTTAAAAACCAGAGGTCCCAGGATGAGCTGCTGCTCTCAGTGATACAACCAGGGGGTATTGTGTTATATGTGGTGGCCCATGCAGTGATTTGAGCATAGGGGATCAACTTCTATCTGTGACCACCATTAGAGGGGGCAGTGCATTCTGTGTGTGTTACATAGCCTGGAACCTCCAGGTACCCTTCACCATTACTGTGTTTTTCTATATTGCCAGTGGAGTGTGATTGGCACTGTGCCTTTTCTATCTATAATTAAGTACTCTTTGTGCTACACACTTACAGCTGTGCATGGCCCTACCACACATACACCCATGTATCTAAGTTTGCAGAGGGAAAGTGTCTTATATTGTTGACAAGTCTCAGAGGAGTAGTTGGGTTTGTCAGTGTCTGCAAAAACAACTAAGAGTCCAGTGGCACCTTGAAGACTAAACACATCCGATGAAGTGGTTTTTATCCATGCAAACTTATTTCCAAATAAATCAATTAATCTATAAGGTGCCACAAGACTTCTCCTTGCTATTGTTATATTTTTGTTTGTTTGTTTAATAGTTAGAAACTATGTCAATACAAGAGATGGATCATGACTGTGATCCCAGATTGATAGGCCTTGGCCAGAGTTAATGGCTTGCTTAGAAGGCCCATTCAATGTAAGTTTGGAATTTAACATGCCAGAATCAGGTACAAGGTGTGAGCCTAAAATGTGAAACTTCCGGGAGATCAGCCATTCGTCTTAGATTTCTGCTGCCTTCACCCGCAGTAGATTTTGGTTACATCAAACTGGACCTGAAATCTCAGAGCTTTCAGGTCAGGATAAAAGCTGGAACCATACTAGCAGGGCCAGGGTTGGCTCCAATGATCAGGCATTCAAGCCTTCTGAAATTCAAAATCCAGGTTTTGATATTTCTGATTTCTCTCAACTCTGATCAATACATGGAAAATCCAGAGGAGATGTTGAACAATGAAACAATGACGGAAATGCCTTTATGAAATATGTTTGGTTGCAATGCAGCTGTGCTATGCAAAATGCAGAATATTTGTTCAGATGTTCACACACAAATATCTGGCTTTCATTTTGGCTTTTTTATGCTCATCTTCCCATACTCAGGTCCTGTGCAAGTTGGCAGAGAGTTCCTATGATGACCTTCACTGACTTGGTCACTTCCAGACATATCTGCACAGAAAGTTTATGTATAGACCTCTCACAGTTTTGTCTTTGACCCTCAGATATTCCTTTAACGCCTTCACATCCTACCCAAAATGGGAAACAAAGAACAGAATCGATGGGGAGCTCCTCAGCTTACAACAACAAATACCTCACGGTTCCTCAAACCCGGTGCTCTGTGCATTTTGGCAGAATCAATGGGGCTTTTGAGCCATCTGGCTGCATGGAGACTCACAATAAATCTGTAAGTAGGATTATGATCATTGACTTATTCCTTTGATGCTTAAAGGTGGGGTGAGGGAGAGACAGAGAGAGTTAGAGGGACTATTAAATGTGCCTTCTATGTTTTACATACGTGACTGTATTATGAAAAGTAATTACACAAAAAATGCCACTTCCTTGCTCAGCAAATCTGCTCCCTCTGTCTATTCTGAATGACGGCTACTGACTCTAGCCTCTGTCTTATGTTTGTACTCCTGTTTGCTTGTAGGAGGCAACACAGCTCAGAGAGAGGGAGCTGGATTCTGTTCCCTCTTGTGCACCATCAGCAGAGTTGTTAACCACTTTCAGATCGGTAGCAAACCCATGCATGGTCACAGGCTGCTCTGTCCCCCACACCTCTTCCCCACCCCTTTCTGCCCCTTCCTCTCAGCACACCCCATCCCCAGGCCTCATTCTTTCTCCCAGAATCTTCTGCATGCTGCAGAACAGCTGATCTTCAGTAAGTGGGAGGAGCTGGGAGGTAGGGGGAGCAGTTGATTAGTGGGATCACAGTGGTGGGAGGTGCTGGGGGAAGTGAGGGAAGCTTGGTTGCTGGTGGGTGCTAAGCATCCACTACTGCGTCTGTGTCAGTGAGGGCAGAATCTGAAGACAGTGCAATCTTGAATGCAGAACCTTCATTCGGGGTGGAAAATAGACCTTGACCTGCAGACCCTAGGATAAGTTTGCAGGCCTTGTCATTAGAACACATATCACAGTTAGCGTTTCCAACTATCTAATCAAGCAAACCTAAAGACCCTTGCCCCTCCTCCTGCCCCATCTCTTCCCTGAGGCCATTCCCCTTCTCTGAAGCCCCACCCCCAGCCATTCCATCCTTCTCACTCCGTATTTCTCTCTCTCACACCCTTAGTAACTATCACAAGGATGGGGCAAGGGTTTGTGGTGTAGGTTTTAGGCTGGGCCGAGGGGTTCGGAGCTTGGGAAGAGGCTCTGGGCAGAGCCTAGGGCAGGGGTTGGGGTGCAGTAGATGGATGGGGTGCAGGCTCTAGGAGAGAGTTTGAGTGCAGTAGAAGGCACAGGGCAGGGGCAGGGGTTCAGAGCGCTGGATGGGGTGTAGGATGTTGGCTCAAGGAGGGGGCTCAGGGCAGTGTGGGTCCAGAAAGGAGGCATGTAGAGTGTGGGCTCCGAGAGGGAGTTTGGGTGCTTTCCACACAGCTCCCATTGGCTGCAGTTCTTGGCCAGTCAGAGCTGCAGACTCAGTGCCAAAGATGGGGGCAGTTCTCAGAGACCCTGTACATCCCACCCCCCAGAGGCTGAAGGGTTGTGCCAGCTATTTCTGGGGGTGGCATGGCATCAGAGCAGGCAGGGAGCCAGCCTTAACCTGGCTGCACCACCAGACTTTTAGCACCCCAAAAATATCCCATATTTGCTTCTGTAGTCTTTGGGAGATTAAACCCAATTCTGGAAAACTCCCAGCGAAAAGAGGAGGGTTGGCAGCCCTAACCACCATACTCCGTGATCGATTTACCTTCTAAACTGTATGCCATTGTTCTGCAATCACCCAGCAACATGGAACCAAGGTGCTATTTTTAGAGTCAGTTTTCTAAGTAAAACAGCATGTTGCACCTACAAGACACTGATTTCTTCGGCGAGAGTGAGAACGAATGAAAGTACAGGCAGAATGAGAGAGGCTGTGGGAAGAATATATAATCATTTAAAGTTCATTCTTTTCATAATTAAAACCAATTTTTTTACTAGCAGTTCTTGAGATTAAAACAAAATGAATAAGCAGCTAACAAATTCTTCAGTTGCAAAACCTCCTATGAGAGCAGGAAAGCATTGCAAAATTAGGGCTTCCCCCTGTTCTCATTGTAGTTTATGGGAAATTTGCCACTGACTTTAGGGCCTGGTCCTAATGCACAGATGTGGCAAAATATCTTTGCCTTGTGGGTGTCAGGGAGAGAGAGAGAGAGAGAGAGATCTCCAGTCTGCACAGTCCAGCTCTCTGTGTAGGTGCAGCAGCAGCATCCCTTTGATGTTGCTATGGTGACCTCTCAGGTGGCAACTGCTGGGATGAGGCACCTGGGTACCTACAGATGATAAACAGGAAAACACCCTCAGCAACTCCTCTACCAAAACCGTGCTCATTCCTTTTCCTTCTGGGCTCTGTGTGCTTCTCTCATTTCCCCACGCACCCACGTATAAAGAAGAGGGGGATAACACTTGAAGATTATCTTCTCTAGAGCCAGCTAATGGATTTCCCTGGATTGCTGCTGGTGCCAACGGCCAGGGAATGGTGACGACTTTACCTATGAAGTGTGTTGCATGAAGTTTTCTGGAAGGGAGGCTGGGCATCTGAGATCTGGTGTTTTCATTGTGGCAGGAATGGATCCAGAGAATCTGCAGGGACTGCCTGTGAGTACAGTGTGAAAAGGACTCAGGCTATAGAATGGGAACATGTTATAAAATGTTGTCTCCAAAGTATTTTTAACCTGCATGTGTAAATCTAGTGGTAAAGGGGACATGCAGACCGTGTATGTGTAGCATATGTATAGTGTGCAAAGGGAGAAAAATGAAAGCAATCCAGTCTGTGCATGAAAGGGTTGCATGCAGGGAGACCAAGGAGGTTGATAGCAGATGCGTGTGGAGCTAGGAAGTGAAACTTAGCTATGGGAGAGATGAACATGGGAGGTGTCAGCACGCAATTCATATCCACATGCATAGTTGTTCAGATCAGTAACTATCAGTGTTCACGCACAGTAAAAACCTGGGCAATTCCCATTTAAAAAACATCAACAGTACACTCTTCAGTTCCTTTTCCCATTCTCAAATACCTCCTTTCACAAGCTCCATGTTTTGACCCCAATCCCAAACAATCAATATGTAAACTTAAAGCTCGCCATGTTATTTGCTTAAAAGATAATATATTCCCATCCAAGCTGCCATAGCTTTCATGAACTACTTGTACCTAGTTCTGCATTGGAGTGTAGGTAAACTAGCCATGAAGTTAGATTGCAAAGGGTGGCAGTGAAAGATGGTTTTCTATACAGTTTAGGATAATGAATGTGAATGGGTAATCTATGTTGTGAGTAACAACAAGCAGTTCTATGGCACCTTAGGCTATGTCTACATTAGGGAGTGGTTTTGAAATAAATTATTTCAAAATAATAACTCCCAAATAACTATTCTGCAATAAGCTTATTCCTCTTTGCAAGCAGAAGTTATTGTTTCAAAATAACAAGCTCTTTATTTCGAAATAACAGGCTTGATAGTGTGGACAATTGCCTTGTTATGTCAAAATAAAGGGAGACTGACAAAGACATCGTGAGCTTTCATAGGTAAAATTTACTTCATCAGACGAGTTGGAGTGGAAATTACAGAATCCATAGTATATATAATAGCAAAAGCAACCAATTGTAAGACCAGTGTTAATGATGCTAATTGAGTCAGTTACAAGTTCCACACTATTAACTTGGGCTTGAATAAAGATACTAACTAGTTGACACATTACAAAGGCAATTTTAAAAGCCTTTGATATTTGCATTTACACATCAAAAGCTATGAATGAGACACATCCAGCCTGACTCAATTAGCATCCATTAACACTGGTCCTACAATGGACAGGTAACTGCTTTTGCTATCCTATATACTCTGCATTCTGTAATTTCCACTCCAGTTCATCTGATGAAATGGATTTTACCCATGAAAGCTCATGATTATGATATACTAGCAGATGTACCCAGTGTTGCTCAGATCTGTTATGGAAGTAATCTTTTGGGGGATTTTTGGAAAATAAATGAAAAACATATGCTTTATTTCAATGATTGTATTTTTTAAAAAATGAAGGGAAATGAAGGCTGGAGTGAGGGTTTGGGGGTAAGGAGAGTCTTTGGACAGATGGTTGGGAACTGGGGGGTGCTTAAGGCAAGGGGTGATGGCCTCAAGGCAGGGGGAAGGAAATGGAGGTGCAGAAGTCAAGGAAGGTAGGAGGTAGGACTCAGGGTAGAGAGCTCAGGACAGGAGGCTGGGAGATGAGGGGGAATTACTGGGGCCACCCATGGCAGCAGGGTGGCATTGCTCTGGCAGTGGCTCTTCCCAGGGGATCCTGGCAGTGCTTTCTGGCTGGCAATTCCTCCCGAGGGATTGGGACAGTGCTCCCCAGAGGGCGGCTCCTTCTAGGAGGGGGGATCCAGGTCTGCGTGCTTGTCAGGTGGTGGTTGGGGTTCTGCAGGCCAGCCCTGGCCTCCAGCTGCACCCCCCGGCCTGCAGTTTGTTTGGGGAAGAGGGGCAACCCCTGGCCTGCAACTGCTCCAAGGGGGGGGCCTTCCTTTTGGGGCAGTGGCCACCTGGACCTGCAGCCTGTTGTTTGGGGACAATGCTCTGCAGGCTGGCCTTGCCATCCAGTGACCCCTCTACAGCCTCCCTCCAGTGGTTACCTGCACCTTCAGGCTGTCTGGGATGAGGGGAGGCACAGGGGGGATTCCCCCCCTCACACACACATCTTGCAGGCTGGCTGCAGGAGGAGCCAGGCTCTGGGGGTTGCCCCCTCCTCTAGCAGGTTCCAGCTCTGGGGCAGGGAAGCTCCTTACACAGTTTGGAGTCTGGCAAGATAGAGGAGCCTCAGCCCTGCTGGCCACTCTCTTTGTGGTGCAGCTGCTCCCAGGGGCTGCTCTAAGTATCGTGTCCCTCCTGTCTGTGCCTCTCCCTTTCACGTCCCTCCACTCTCTGCCCCCTCCCTTTCCATGTTATGGAAAATAGCCCCATTCCCAGCACTTCCTGTTTTCCAGGCACAACCAGACCCTGACCTGGGTTTAAGTTTGAGTAAGAGGAAGCTGCATACTGCATTTGGCGGTCCTTGCTCTTACAGTTTAGGAGAAATTCCTGAACAAATGGACAAACAGATGCACAGACAGATATGGACACGCTTTAAGGGTGTGTCTAGACTACAGGGTTTTTTCGAAATAAGTGGCCTTTTATGGAAAAAACTATCCCTGCGTCTAGACTGCTGCCACGTTCTTTTGAAAGTAAATCGAAAGAACATGGCAGTTTTTTCGATCACGGAAAACCTCATTTTACGAGGAAGAACGCCTTTTTTTGAAAGTGCTTTTTCGAAAAAAGGCGCTACGTAATGCAAACTGTGCTTTTTCGAAAGAGAGCATCCAGACTGCCTGGGTGCTATCTTTCAAAAAAGCGACTTGCTTTTTCGAAAGTACTGGTTGTAGTCTAGACTTTTTTTTTGAAAGAGGCTTTTTCGAAAGTATCTTTTGAAAAAGCCTCTTTCGAAAGAGGCTTGCAGTCTAGATGTAGCCTAAATTATATAAGAAGGTTTGTTAGTCTCTACGGTGCCACAGGACTGCTTGTTTTTAAAGTTACTGACTAGCATGGCTACCCCTCTGAGACTATGTTGTGAGTGACGGTTCTACATTTGGGATTATATTTTAATATAGAAATTACAGAATTGGAATCCATGTTGATGTACTATGGCTGTGGTTGGAGCTGAGGCTGCATGGCCTAAGGCAGAGATATGTGAACTCTGGAAAGAAAGTAACTGAGATGGAGAAGGGAAACTGATGTGGCAGACAGTCTGTTGAATGGCTTTGCATTCCCTTTCTTTTAATAGTGCATGTTGGTGGCTCATGCAGGCTACCAATCTTCTCTCAAAATTAATTACAATGTACGTCAATACTGATATGGTTTATAGTCATAGCTGGGCATGGGAGAACTACTCTTTCTAACATCCACTCCTCAACCTTCTTGTCTCCTATATACCCTCTGCCCAGCCCAGCCCTGCCCAGCCCTGTTTCTCCTCCTGTGCCCCAAAGAGCTGAACTCCATGTCCCAGCTCAGACCTCTGATTCCTGCCCGGCACAAACAGTCCCCTGTTCCCCAGGAGCACCGTGTCGCTTTACAACATATTCCCAGGCCATAATATATAGACAGAGGATGCTCTGCAGTGCTCAATCCGAGCTCTTGCTCCTATTGCGCTTTGCCCATCTCTACAGTTACTCCTCTTTGTTTACTCAGCTAAGGCTTTCGTGTGCTTGTACAAGAGAGGCCCTGAGCACAGCTCCTTACTTGGGCGTTTTGTTTCTCTCCCTGAGACTTGTCTATTTCTCTTTCAGATAATTAACAATTACCTGGATGAGTCCCAAGGGGAGGCCAGAGGTGGGATATCCCCAGGTGGGATGCATTTTAGGGACAGCAAGAGGAAAGTGGATTACGTCTTAGTCTATCATTACCGGAAGCGCGCTTCTCAGCACCAGCGAGTCGGTGGCTCCCTAGGTCCCTTGCACAGACCTTCCGCCTTGGCTATTGTTTCTAATGGGGAGATGGGGAAAAGCCACTCTCAGCAGCTGCAAAACCAGGGCCTGAATGCATCTCAGCAGCAACGTGTGCAGCCAGTTCCTCAGCTGATCGAGATGAGCCCACTGGATGCCCTAGAGGACGAGAAATGGGAGCAGAGGGAGGAGTATGAGTACAACTTGGTGGAAGCCGGACTGGAGATAGAAAAAGACATCGAGGTAAGAGCACAAGGGGCAGTCCTTCAGCATGGCACTGGACTTCCCATCAGCAAAGAGCTGTCTTGGTTTAGCACTGAAAAGGAGTCTGTGGGGAGAAGAAATCCTGTTTAGTAAGTAGAAAGTAGGACACTGTTAAGTTAAACAACTTGGATTCTGTTAGTTCCCTCCCCCTCTACCCCCAGCAAAAGGTAATACTGAGCAAAAGCCCATTGCAGCACAAAGAGTTATGGCTTAGTGCAGGCAAAGGTTTCAGTTCTATAATGATATACATTAACTATCCATGTTACAGAAACATTGTACTTATTGATGGTGAATATAAGGGACAGCCAAGCTTTACCTCCTGGCTCTCTTCAGATGCAGATTGTAGGCTGGACTATCCTCTCCTCTCACCCTTATTCAAAGCCCCCTGATGTTCATGGACACCCTTTCATTGATTTCAAACCAGCGTGACTCCTCTGCTGTTGCTCTTGCCTAGGGATATGTCTGCCTAATAGCTGAAAGGAATGATTCCCAACCTGCCAGAGTGAGCATGCTCAAAGTAGCAATGTGGCAGGAGGGCATTCCCGCCGGACTCTCTCGGG